GGTGTGGGCGGGGGGGATAACAGACTGGTGGCATATAAGGCGTCCGCGGAGCGTGGTAGGAAGAGAAGGCAAGAATAGTCTGGGGCTTAAAAGAGAACTAGAGAAGAGACCGCTAGACAACTGTAATCACAGACACTTGTACGGGAGGTGTTTTCAACTCCCCTCCAGCTCCCCCACCTTCCTAAGGAGTGGGGATCTTCTGGAAACAGTGACCAGGCGACCGTGGAGATATTATTCAACTGTCCAGCGCTTTGTCAGCGGTGACAAACGGTGCCTATACAAGAAAGCACATAAATCGGCTGCTAGCCAAGTACCCGCCCTCCTCGCATGCAGCATAATCAAAAATGCAGCAAACAAAACCCCTCAAGTTAGTTAGACCAAGCGGGCTCGTTCACCCACGTGCCGCCTGTGGGGGGGGCAATCGATATGGCAACTATGCAACGACGCCCACGCACAATGTCCACTGTTTGAAGGTCCCGCCGTCTGCCACAACACCACTGACAACCAATTATGTATCGTAATAGTAAGGTACCACCTGCTTAGTCGTTGTGACAGCTCGACTGTCGTGTCCGACGAGGTTGTCTGGAGGTGCCAAACTAGCCGACCTTCAACATCCTCGTTCTGGATGCAACGCTGCAGCTAAACCCTCGCATGGTATGTCCGCTTTATGACCAGGCTGTAAAATTCTGATAATTGATTTTGCATACCTAGCGGTTTTTGGACTGCTGTTGATCGTTTGATTATCGGATATAAGTACGGTGCAGATAAACGATACACAAGTCGTAGTAGTGACGACTGAGCCTGCCAAAGAGGTCCATCGTGTGCCCAACAGCAAAATGGCGCAGGGCCAGTGGCTTGCGCGGTATCTATCACATCCCCTCGCTTTCACGCCCCTCCAATTTGGGCTCGGTGTCATGACCAAGTAAAGAAGACCGGAAGCGGGAGAGGGTGCAAAGGGCTGGCGCGGTCGGAGTCGCCACGCCTGGATCGGACCGCATGGAATGGAAGTGCAATAAAGGTCACATTAAGAAGGAGCCACTGCAGCCTAACTCTCAGACTGACACTCCAAAAAGCACACACTATGCTAACTGCGCAGATCGAGTTTTTCCGTCAGTTGGCAACCTTCCAAGCCACGACGGATTTTAGCGTATAGTGACAACCGCAAACGTGTCAGATTGTTCGTGGAGAGGAAAATGCGCTGCGCATTCGGCCTCAAAACACCAGGAGCCAGCTACTGCCACTACCCTAACCCACAACTTAAAAGACGTTAGTAACAATTATGGTCCTCCGCCCCACATCAAAAACCGGTTCTAGTGGGGAAACAACCTATAGGGCTTCGTTCAAAGGTGGCGTTAGGTGTTAGGATCCGCCCTAAACGGCGAGTCGTGCCCAAGCCCGGCTATCGATCCGCTTACACGCGGCGCACGTAAACTGGCAAGCAATCAATAGCTTAAAATTTAAAGCTGCGGCCAGGCTAGGACTCTGATAGGCCAGCCGTTGAGTCACAAGTCAACCGCGTCGCTACTCGCTCCAAGGCAGTATCTGATTGGTCCGATGGACATTGGTGTACACGCCTTTGTTTACATTAAATATGTTGC